AAGGGAACTTCTGCTTAGAGACAAATGTTCACCCTGAGGGTGGCGACACACTGAACCTGGGGCCAGAGAGGGTACAGAGTCTTTGTCCTTGGAGATACCCAAATCTCCACTGGACATAGCCCTTGAGTGACCTGGTCTAAGGGATCTGCTCTCAGCAGGGGCTGGGCTAAAGACCTCCCGAGGAACCTTCCCTCTTCATCACACTGCCACCTACTCCAGCATTGCTCTGAGATGGCCGAGAGCAAATTCAGGATCAATCTCAACAAGAAAACAATCTGGAAGAACTCAACCACCACCTTCTACTCATGCCCCAAAAGGATCATCTCTGAGGTCTGGTGGCAGCAGCTGAATGCAGATACCAGCACCAGCTCGGAGCATTGCAGATCGGGGTGGGAGGCAGCAGCACTGCTGCCAGCGTCCCTGTTTGGCAAAGGTGACAAGAAGCCACGCTGCTATACGTGATGCCACAGCAGCGCTTTACCTCCAAGGAGAGCAGTCAAAGAGCAATCCCTGTTTGTGAACAGCAAAACGACTTCAGTCAAGGCTAAAACACCGCAGAACCAACCCGGGCTGTGTGCAGAGTGACCTAGCGGTGCCTCCCAAACGTTGCTCTGAAGAACCATAAATAGAGAGCGTCTGACTCTGCTCCACAGCCCATTTCCCCAGGGACGATACAGTGAGGCCATTCCCTGAAGGGCATCACCCACCCTCAGCGACCACTGCCTGGCATGAAGACACCCCCACCATACACTGCTCCTTATCACCGTCCTGCTGCTCACTAACGAACTGGAAGCACGTGGCTTTCGGCTATCAATGAGATAAAGCGCGGCGCAGACCACATCAGGAGCCCACAGCAGTATTGCAGAAGCAGCTGGAGGGAAGGAAGAGGATTCCCAGCCCCCCGAGCCCTCTTGGCCCCTCTGTGCTCTGCCGAGGAGCCCCCGGTACCTGTTCGGGTGGGAAGGACGGCTCCAGGCTGCAAGGCTGTGTCACCAGGTGACAGCATACATGGAAGATGAGCTGCGGGGCTGTTGAAATCCCCCTCCTCCAACACGCAAGCACGGCTGCGATAGGCTTCAAACCAAGGCAGCCATCATCCCCGAAACGCACCACACCAGGAGAGAACGAGGATCCTCACCTCCAGGCCCATAAAGGGGAAGAAAGCGTCCAGACTTTTCTTGTAGCGTCACCACTCGGCTACAATTTTGCTTCCAGCCTCCCGTCGCCACTCCAGGGCACGGCTGCTCCTTGCTCCTCACCTGCACGAGGCCAGGAGATCCCCTCGCTGTCCTGACCCACCTCCCTTCCTCCGGGCACCTTGTCCCACCTGTCCCCTCTGCAGAGGGGCAGCACGAGCTTAAAGCACCACTGCGATCCCCAACAGCCGGCAGAAGGGACCGGACTCACTAAAACCTGTCTGCTTGGAGAAGGTCCTGCCACCACCCAGAGGCAGTGGCTTTCCGGGGAGGCCAGCTCCAGGCTCCCAGTAGGAGGCAGGCGGGAACAGGCAGCCTCTCTGCCGGTACCCAGGGGACACGCAGACTGCAGCCCATCACCAGGAATCAGGGCTCACCCAGCAGACTTCTCTTTTTCTCCCTCCACCCCCCCGCCAAGATTTTCTGATTGCAGCAAGTGCAGCAGCCCTCTGGCATCGCCACCCGGCCACAAAGGCTGCATTTTACACCCCGATACTAGAAATTAAAGAAAACAAGACCAACAATGTCTAGAGAAACAGAATAAGCACACAGGCATTAAGAAGGACGAGCCACTCAGCAGCAGCAGCCTGGTCCGCATTTTGGTGGCTCCCTGCCCACACCCCCTGTTCCAAGCACCCCCCAAAGCACGAGCATTATACTAACCCCAAAGTCAAGGCATTTTAGCACACACACAGAGCATATCCTCAATGAGTAGCAAAGCAGAAGTGTTCTTTTTTGAAAAATGCCTAATGACAGACAGAAATTGGCTGCTCTTACTAAAATTGTCCAGCCGCTTTTCAGCGTTAGAAACAACACACACAACTCAAAAATGCGGGAATGGGGCAGCCCATGGCAGGCGTGATGCTCAGATGTACAGGCAGCCTCTCGCTTCTCGATATACTCGAGACACTAGAAAGTCCTGGTGAGAAGAGGAAGACTCTGGTGACTCCAGAGCAGTGCTCAGCTGGCCCCAAAACTAGAGGAGACCTTGGGCACATCCCTGTAGCATCTCCTCTATGGTCACAGCCCCATTTATCCAGCCCCTCCTCGCCTCCCGCCCACAAGCGCCCAATCTCAGTCTCTCACAGCAGTTAGCCAGAGAACTATAGACCTGTGTTTCCTTTTATCACTTTAAGATCATTTTCATTTCCATTAAACAAACATGTGAGAAAGGGAAGAAGCTCTGCTGGGGACTTTTTTATTGTATTACCATGACTGCAGTTTAAGTACCCTGCGAGCTAAGCAGCTCCACTCTCTTTTTGTTTCTCTGCCTGTTTTCTGTCCTGCCTTCACTTCTCAATCTATACGACTATATGACACCTAGGTAAATGGACTGCCTGAGGGAGAGAGGCGGCTGCCTGCCATCAGAAGACAACCCCAGTGCTACGGTGACAACCCAGCTGCCACTGCCATGTTCGTACCACTGCCAGGGGCACGTGTAGTCCAGAGCTCCAGCAAGGAACCCACTCTCCTCCTTTGCTAAGAAAAACACCATGTAGCACCTCATCACCACCCGGACCTGAGCTGTCCTGTGCTGTGAAGGGACACGGTGACAATGAATCAGATCGGCAGGGCCAGGTCTCCACCACCAACTGTCCCTGCTGTAGAGCGGCTCAGACATTTCTTCCGAGCCACCAGGAAAACTCTTTCCAAAAAAGCAGCCACGAGATCTGGCTAATCCCTATTTTAACACCCTTCAGACCTGCAGAACTCACCACGTGGTCTTTAAAGACCACCCGTGTTGTAAATACATGGGGTCCTGTGGCACCAGCTAGGAAGATTATTTTTATTTTCACAACAGAGCAGCTGCAATGGTGCAGGCGACTCCTTCCAGCCGCCGTGCCCCACGCTCGGCACTTCCAGCCTAATGAACCCTGTATTTCCCTCTAATTAGCCTGCTGTTCTGACTTGCCCAGGAGCAGGGCAGCACAGAATCACGCTCAGCGAGGCATCCGCGCAAACAGCTGCCAAAGGCTGGCACCGCTCCTCCCTGCCTAAGCTCAAGCCTCCCAACAAACTCTTCATAGGAAATTCGAGGACGTCACCTGGACCCAGCCCCTCTCCCACCTGGCGCTGGCACAGAAGTGTCCTGTGGACCCAGCTGGACATTCCACCCAGCCCTCACCCGGCCTGCCCGGCCACAGCTTCGCTCTCTGACAGGCGCTGAGTGCCTCAGCCAGAGCCACACCGTACTTCAGCTAACCACACCGCCTGTGGAGGAGAGACTGCTAGGCACGCTGCCCGAGTAACAGCCTCCGGGTACACTGGAGAGAAGTTTCTCTTCAGTTAATTACCCAGAGTTAATTTGCAGGAAGAAATCAGCCTGCCTGCGTTTGTAACACCGCCCACCCTGGGCTTGCTTTTTGCCAGCGCAGTTCTGTACGTACAGCACGATGTCCGCCACCACCCAGCGTTAGATGCTCTCGTGTTTGAGCCCGACCCATCGGTTTGGGCGGCAACGTGCCGGGCAACGGGCCCCCTCTCACAGAACGACACTTTCAGCTGAAACGAAGAGGGCAGCCCCAGCGGGCAGGAGCAGGGCCCCGCGCAGCACCAGGTCCTGCTGGCAGGGACCTTCTCGCTGCGCCCACGGCTGAGGAGTGGGCCGGAGCTGTGGCAGGGCCCTGGCAGCACACCAGCATCGCCGTGCACCAGCAGCGTGACGGAGGGAGCACGGAGGGAGCTGGGCGGTGAGTCAGTCCCCACGCTCAGTTTTTCCCCCCACGAGTGACTCGAGGGGGCCGTGCCCCCG